CTTATTTTTATAATATATGTTTGTATACTGTGTGTACATATGTATGTATGTGTATATACAGTCATTGGCACCCCTGCATTTCTGTCAGAAAATGCACCACACAGAACACCTGAATCCAATGATTAGGAGGAGTGGCCCAATACGTTTGGCAATATAGTGTATTTGTGCATATATTTATTTTATTCCATCTTTTTTTTGTTGCTTTCGTTTCACAGCTTTAGAAAAGCAAGGTTAGCAAAAATCCTGGCAGAAATATATTCAGTCAAAATATTTTATTATTTTTGAAATTAGAATGTGATGTTTTAAATTAAAATTTAAAAATGTAGAATTCCCATTGGAATGTAAAATTATTTAATATTTGCATTAAAATGTTGTTTGTAATCAGTGTTATTTATGCTGATGTTACAATGTTGTAATTATCCTTTTAGCTTGCAGTGAAATTCCTGTTTTTACCTATATGTATCTTGCTTGCTTCTGAGGAAAGCCCACAAATACTGTTTAAACCATACCTTTGATCAAGACGCCACTTGTTTTTACTGTAAAATGAATGAACTTGTGCCTAAAAGCTTCTAGTGAATTCTTGCATAAATGATCTAAAAGGGAGGGTAAGAGAAGGTTTGCAGCAAAAACAAAATCTTCAGCTATGTATGGCTTTTGCTCTTGGTGGATTGAATTGCAAAAGGGCATGCCTGAGGTTTGAAACCTGCTTGTATTTAAGAATAAAGTGTGTACAGTGATGTGAAAAATTAAGGACATCCCATAGAAATTGCCGATTTTTAAACATATTTGAATAGGCAAACATTGCCTGTGGATGAATGTGATACACGTGACTATGAACACAAGAAAAATTTGCCTTTTCGAACATTTATTCAACAAAAATATCGAATGAATGGTCTACTGTGGAAACAGTAAGTACACTCTTGGCATCAAAAGCTGCTATTGCTCCCTTTAGCAGAAATTACTTAGTGTAGGCATTTTGTACAACTGCCCTCCAGTCTCTGACATCAATATGTGAAATTTTTGACCACTGCAAAATACCTTCAGTTGCAGGAAGTTTGTAGGTTTATTTGCATGAACTGCCAGTTTCAAAATCCACCTAGAAATTTTTAGTAGAAACCAAATCAGAACTTTGACTATGGAAGCTCATAACCCTATTTTCTTCTTTTTTTAATCCATTCCTTCTTCTATAACTGACCCAAAAATTAATTGGCGTTTCATTTGTACACGAAAAATAAGTGTAAAACCCCAAGAAAAAAAAAAAAACATTCTAATCATCTCTGCCTTTCCCTGAGAAGCATAATTGCAAATAATGGTTAAAAACACCCAAAAAGGCATTACAATGTACTACTTATCACATATTTATTTATTTTTTACATTTTCAGCATGCTATTTTCACGTGTTGTCTAAAACACCTAGATTAACAAGCTACACTTCGGGATCCGTTTCGGCTGCGGCGTCTCAGTATACCGATACTGAGCTTTGGGTGACGGGAGGACGCTAGTTTGTGTCCTCCCGTTACCCTTAGAAAAACTATGGGGAAAAGCCCTAACCTCATAGTTCTCCTTTTTAAAATAAAAAAAAAGATTGAGGACACAATTACTTATTCTGCAGCCCCTGCTATAAATGAACAGGAAGCCTTTATACTGAGTGTTCTTGTTCATTCCTAATTTGTGTAGATAGTATGTTTACCATGTCCACAATCATGAATGCACAGGAAGTGATATAGATCACTTCCCATTCATTCATATATGGGGACACAGTAAACATACTATGTCCTCAATTATTTACAAGCAGTCAGCGATCACTGACTGCTTGTACCGCTTTCCATCCTGACTCGCTGTCACAGGAGGCTGAGCGAGCAGTGCGGGGAGGAGAGCTCGGTCTTCTATGACAGCTGATTCCTCCCCCACACCGCCGCTCTCCTAATCTGTCACAGGCTGAGCGGTGGGGGAGGAGAGACGCTGGCCACTCACATCACTCTCCTCCCCCGCACAGCTCGGCCTCCTGTGACAGTTTCTCTCTTCCCCGCTGGACACTGCGCTGTCAGAGGGGAGACTGAGCAGCGGGGAGGAGAGAAACCAGGCAAACACCGCAATTTCGGACGAAAATGGGACATATTGGCCGAAATTATGGTGCATCTCTAGTTTTGAATAAACTACACCGGTTTTTGTACACGTTTTGTGCACACATATTCACTCAAACATCACAACTTATGTACACTGCTTATCAATGTTTTACCTGATATTGACGCAGTGCTGTGTCACTTTATTAATTACAGCGTATATAAAGGCAAAATAAAAAAAGATATGCAGTACATCTCTGCAACATTAAGTTTTGTCCCTTTTTAAGAACCTGCAAGTACAGAAAAATACTTGTTGATCTGCCAGTTGAAATGCAATCGCCTCTAAAGCCCTGCTATGGACTGACAACACACAGCATATTTGTGGGCTGAGTGGTGTCACTCCTGTCCAATGTCTTTTGCTAAACTACTCAACCACTATCATACTCGGGTCTCTAACAACATAAAGACTAGTCATTCTGAACTAGCAGGGATAACACAGGAACTATGCTTAGGATACAGGACAGCTCTGAAATTCTGACAAGATTAACAGGTCTGCAGATATAACAAAAATGCTTCCAATTGCATATGAAACAGACCAAAAGTAAATAAGAGAAGGTCACTGTCACCTTGAAGAAGGGACCCTGCGTGGCTCGCAAATGTTGGCTAATTGACATGTTTCTTCAGTAAATAAGCAAAATAATTGAATGCTTTCGATTGAGTGCTGGTGATCACCGTCTTTGAGCTC